ATGGTTGAAATCGTTCTCAGTATTGCTTTTGTAGGACTGAAAGCACATCTTATGTTAAGCAAGCACATATGTCCGCTGGAGTAACAGAGAGGCATTTCAGATGGCCAGAGTGTTGAACTAAATGGTCCGTTTATGAGCTGAGAATTCAATGCAGAATTATTCAAATGCAGTGATCTTACAACGCAATTTTAAAGCTGACAACAGGAAATAGATTTTTTTTTGAAAAGTTAACATTGATTTTTGTCATAATTAATTCTCATTAAAGTTACAAAATGGTGCTTAAAAGAAAATACAAATGATTGCATGTGTGTGAAAAACCGCTCCATCCTTAAGTCAGTAACGTGGGCGCTCAGCATATGGTGAAGACATAAGTGGCGTTTTAATTGAATGCAAGTATGCAGGGCTGCCGTTAGGAGAGCAGACTGTTTTGTTTTGCAGCAGAGACAGCAAGGGTTGTTTCCTACTGGGAAGAACAGCAGTGCTAGATGTAATAGCTTAGTGGTGTTATTACAGTACATAAGCCTTTGATTAGAACACAGACTGAAGGAGTTCCCAGCTGGATTTAGCTGCCTGGCCTCTCAGAAGCACTTGTTACTCGTTGACAGATATAGAAATGAAGTTTTAAAAACATTTGGATTTTCGGTTTGTTTTTCTTTATTGAGTCCTGATAGCAACGTGACTTTTACAACCCTTATTTACTGCTGCTATGTATTTTGCGACTGGAGTCCAGAATGCAGCTGTGTGGGATAACAGATTTGATGCACTTTACCTTCAAAAGCTCTATTGATATGTGAAAATTGGTGGTTGTATACATCTACCTGCCTTTGTACAATATTCAGAGGTCACAGTTTGGAAATTATACTTACATGCCCTGGTCGACCCAAGGACCACTATTTTCCTCTCAATTTGCTCACAGAGCTCTTTCGGAAGCAATAACTTTGCCGTATAATTTTAAAAGTTGTGCCGTATTTTTGTTCCACTGTTTTCACCAACCAATACAGTGCTGCTGGTCTGACAATCCAAATTTGTCTTTGATCTGCCCCTGCATGTCTCTAGGCAACCAGGGGACACCAGCGTGGTGACTCAATGTCGTCATGCTGCTCTCCCGGCTCTGTGCTTGCGTGATCAGATTGAGAAGCATTTTGAGATCTGCAGCATGTTAAATGCTAAATTGAGCTCAGAGTTCTCCAGCAGCCAATTAATATCAGAGGCATTCCATGGACACAATGGGAAATGTAATATTGGAATGATATTTGTAAAGAAACCAGGTACAGCCTAAGTGCAGAGCTGATCAATAGTGTCCCAGGCTGAATAATTTCACTTGTAGTTCTTCCATTATATAAGCTTCAAGCAATCACTTAAATCGTAATTCAGCATAGTCAGAAAGGTCACTATTTATTAAACCATAAAAATAATCATTGCACTGCAGATACAAAGCAATCTTTTGTGGTTTTAAGGATTAAAATCTATTCTGGACCAAATTTTCCTTTTAAGCAGCTAAGTAGTTATTCATAATATTCATTTGTCGGACTGTGCACAGATTTTGATGGGCTTCTGGTTTTAATGTCTGGCAGAGCTGCCCGTTACAAAGTGAATGCACTAATCATGAAGCTTATTCACTTCGAATGTAAAGCGCTCATTTGTAATAAATATTACTTTGAACTAAAGTAAAGTTGAAACAAAAGCAGAAATGCTGGAAAAGCTCAGCAGGACTGGCAGCATCTGTGGAGAAAAATCAGAGTTAACGTTTCAGACCCAGTGACCCTTCCATAAAACTGATGGACGCTATGAAGAAGTTGGTTACTTCGCAGAAAATAGGGTTGGGGGAGGGAGTAAGGAGTGAATGATAGTTAGAGATAGATCCCAAAGAGAGAGAAGAACAGTTGAACAAAGGAGTGGATAATGGTCAGCCTAGCAGAACAAATAGCTGCTAATGGGGACTATTATTAGCTAATAATGGAGATAGCTACAACTGCAGATGCTGGAGTCAGAATCAATACAGTGTGGAGCTAAAGGAGCACAGCAGGTCAGGCAGCATCAGAGGAGCAGGAAAGTCAATGTTTCAGTTTTTACATCCTTCATCAGTCCTGATGAAGGGTGTAAATCCGAGACGTCAACTTTCCTGCTCCTCTGATGCTGCCTGACCTGCTGTGTTCCGCCAGCCTCACACTGTATTGACATTAGCTAATAATGGGTTGTGTGTAATAGCAGACCATGTGACAGCAAATCCTGGTATGTTGCGGGGTTTGGGGTAAGGACATGGGAGAAGATACCACATGCCCTAAAATTGTTGAATTGATACTGAGACCAGAAGGCTGTAGAGTTCCTAAGCAGAAAATGAGGTGTTGTTCTTCCAGCTTTCTGCTGAGCTTTGCTGGAGCACTGCAGTAAGCCTGAGGCAGAGATGTTGGCCAGGAAGCAAGGTGGTGTGTTGAAGTAGCAGGGAACTGGAAACTCAGGGTCTTTTTTATTGGTAGAATGTAGTCTATGGACTACCAGTCACCCAATGTAGAGGAGACCACATTGTGAGCAGCGAATGCAGTAGACTAGATTCTGGGAAATGCAAGTAAAGTGCTGCTTCACCTGGAAGATATGTTTGGGCCCTTGGATACTGAGGAGGGAGGAAGTAAATGTGCTGATGTTACATCTTCTGCGGTTGCAGGAGAAGTTGCCATGGAGCTGTCGGGGAGGGGTTTCGGGAGTGAAGGAGGAGTGGGTCACCGTGTCCCGGAGGGAATGGTCCTTGCGGAAGGCTAACAAGGGAGGGGAGGGGAGTATGTGTCTGGCAGTGGCATCCAGCTGGAGGTGGCGGTAATGCCAGCTAATGATCCTCTGAATGTGGATACTGGTGGGATGGTAGGTGAGGACAACGCAGACTGTATCGCTGTTGTGGGAGGGAAGAGATGAGGTGAGGGCCAAAGTGTGGGAGATGGGTTAGACCTGGTTGAAGGTGCTGTCAACCACAGTGTTGCGGAATCCTTAGTTGAGGAAGAAGGTGGACATTTCAGAGGCCCCCTCGTCGAAGTTGGCATCATCAGAACAGATCCAACGGAGATGGAGGAACTAGGAGAATGGAATAGTGTCTTTACATTAAGCAGGGTGTGAGGATGTGTCTACAAGGTAGTTCTTTTACAGGCAAATGTTTCCTCTGTGGCCTCGACAGGTTAACCCTGATCTTGTCACAGATCAACCTTTCTTTGGACAAGAGTCCTCTCCCTGTCCCATAGACTCTTCGCCAACCTCCAACACTCTCCCTCCACCTTGGACCCCTCCCTCTGGCCTTTTTCCTGCACTTGACCTGTTCATTCAGGACTGTCGAAATGACATTGGTCGCGTCAATCGCTCTGCCCCCCTCACGGGAGTTGGTGGATTTATAGTGGATATTAGTGGCCAAGCTCTCTGAAGAAATGGAAACAGAGATAGTGAGGAAGGGAAGGGAGGAATCAGAGATGGACCAGGTGAAGGTGAGAGCGGGCTGGAAATTGGAAGCGAATTTGATAAACCTTTCCAATTCTGGACGAGAGAGGGAAACAGCACCGATGATATCATCAATAAACTGGGGAAAGAGTTGTGGGTGGGGGCCGGATTAGGACTGAAACAAGGAATGTTCCACGTACCCCACAAAGAGACAGGCATAACTGGGGCACATGCAGGTACACATGGCCACCCCTCTGACCTGAAGAAAGTGAGGGGTGTTAAAAGAGAAATTGTTCAGGGCGAGGACGAGCTTGGCCAAGCAGAGGAGGTTGGTTGTGGATGGGTCGGTTCAAGACTTCTTTCCAGAAGGAAGCCGAAAGCCCTGAGACCATCCTGATGGGGAATGGACGTGTAAAGGGATTTCACATCGACGGTAAAGAGGACGTGGCTGGAGCCTGCAAACTGGAAATTCTGAAACAGATGTAAAGAGTCAGAGGGATCGTGGATGTAAGTGGGAACGGACTGTGGAGAAAAAAAATCAAGTCCGGGTAGGAAGAGATGAGTTCAATGGGGTAGGAGGAGGAAGAAATAATCAGTCTGCCTGGGCAGTCCTGATTGTAGGTTTTGGGAAGGAGGTAGAAACGAACTGTGCGGGGTTGGGAGACTATGGGTTTGGAGGCAGTAGGGGTAGGGGAATTGATGGGAGATCACCAGATAAGATGAGGTTAGTGACCATTGTGGAAACAGTCACCTGTTGTCCCTTTGTGGAGTCATGGTCCAGGGATGGATAGGAAGAAGTATTCTGAGAGTTGGCGCTCAGCCTCTACAATGCAGAGATCAGTCTGCCAGACAAAAACAGCACGACCCATGTCGTCGGGCTTAATTACAAAGTCATGGTTGGATCTGAGAGCACGGAGTGCAGTCAGTTCCTGGGGAGATAGATTGGAATGCATGAGGGGAGCAGAGCGATTGACGCGACCAATGTCATTTCGACAGTCCTGAATGAACAGGTTGAGTGCAGGAAAAAGGCCAGAGGGAGGGGTCCAGGTGGAGGGAGAGTGTTGGAGGTTGGCGAAGAGTCTGTGGGACAGGGAGAGGACTCTTGTCCAAAGAAAGATTGATCTGTGACAAGATCAGGGTTAACCTGTCGAGGCCACAGAGGAAACATTTGCCTGTAAAAGAATGTGTCCTATGAAATAATACTGAATGACCATGAATCAAGTGAAGGATGTCAATAAGATATGAATAGAGTGGTACAGATTCTACTGAAAATCATTGATATTAGATAACTAGTTAAAAAAAATTCTGCAGGAATAAACCACACCTTTCAATCTGCTCATCTTTGAGGCTTTTTTTTCATCCCGCAAGTTATGATCTGCTTTCAAAGATTGTCTTCTCTGACCGTTCCTGTTTTGCTAAGTGGGGCACTGAGTTTGAATGCAGTGTGAGAATCATTAAGTACAGAGCCTAAAACTTACAAGGTAGCAAAACTGACATGCTGTACTGGTGTCAGTTTCAGAATTAACATTTTGGTTCATGTGCTTCTAATAATCAGTGACCCTTACTTCATGTGCTTTCCACAGGAAATGAATACAGCAGAAATTACTTTGACCTACAGATGTATGAGGGAATAGACCCAAGGCAGTATAGGATAGAGGTCAGCACAGAAGATGAGTGTGAATTAAGTATGTAATTTCTTGTCATTATATTCTCTTCAAATCACTTTAATGAGGTGGGAATGACCGTTTGTGGTCTAGCCTACTTTTACGGTTTTAAGATCATAACTTGTTTTCTTATTAAAAATTAGTGCTGAAAGTGCATTTCCAATGTGCTACTTCAGATGTGTGAGATAACTGAAAGCATGCTATGTGTTAGTAGTCTGATATTAATATATTTAATGTTAAACTAAACTGACGATTAGATTCATTTCGTATTTTAAATTAAACTGAGGTGTTTGATGTCTTCATGTGAAACTGATTGACCATTTTCTCGAGGCTGTTATATGGTGTTTTAGAAAACCGTGGTATTAAAAATGAATGAAATTGGCCCACATTTTAATTCTTGTCGCATCAATTAACTGTAACACACCATCTCATTCTTTCAGGTTGAGAACAAAACCAATAAATCTTCTGAGAAATTTCTGAACATTAAGAGGATTTTGACTAATTCATAGGATCTAATAGGATGATTTCTTTAAGACAAACAGAAAATCTGATTTGCTGTTTAATGATACTGATTACTCTTCTTCTAAGTAACACTGCTGTCTGGCTGATTCTGATTTTAAGAAATGCAGTTATAGGTCATTGGAAAGCAGCTGTAACTTTCAGACATTGATATTTGACTGTGGTAGAAAAGAATGGCTTTCCAACACATGACAAAGAATATTTAACTTAAAAACTGTTATGATCAGACCTCAGGCAAGATTCCAAATTCGTCATTGATCTGGTCGGAAACTCCTAACTGTGAACTCCTAGAAATAAAAACAGAAGTTGCTGGAAAAACTCATCGGGTCTGGCAGCGTCTGATGATTTTCCAGCTATTTCTGTTTTCGTTTCTGATTTCCACCATTCGCAGTTCTTACAGTTTTTTTGTAAACTCCTAGGTGAGGAAAGCCAAACTGTCCCTTCTTCATTCACCCACTGCCACAGTTGGTTGCAATCTTTCTGCCAGACCCAATAGAACTTACATTTTAAAAGGAGCCAATTTAACTAGGCTTCCTTTAATTCATATAAAGAGTGAGTTTATTAATTGCTGAACATGAAAAGATTTAGTAAACAAAACACAAATTAAAATAAGAGGTAAGTTCAAAAAGATAAAGCAAAAAAAGCACCGGAACAGGCTCTGAATTATTTGGAAATAGTAGATAGTTGAGTTGAATGTTGTGGCTGTTGCAGTGGAGATTATCAATTGTGTTGATAGTACTAATTGAACAATCGATATTTGAGATTCTTGGTTTTGTAGGCTGATTGAAATTCCTTTGCCCTGATTCCATTTATGAGCTCTGTTACAGCACTTGGAGTGAGAGAGGACTTTATTTTGTCTTACTGCTAGCTTTTAGCGTGCAGAGTGAGTCAGTTTCACCTGCAACACAGGGGTGCCTAAGGCATAGTTCTTCAGCTAAAACGCTGATGTTTGAACCCAGATTGATATGAGAACATTCCAATAGAGTTGAAACTGGCTTTTTAACTCCGGTCCTTGTGCATTCTTCAAAGAGGAAATTATGAACAAACATACAAATATACAAACAAGGAATGAGAGAGTAGGCCACTTAGCCCTTTGAGCCTGCTCTGCCGTTCAAAAAATATGATCTGATTTGATTTTAACTTCAACCCTACATTTCTGTATAATTTCTCCTATAATCTCTCATCCCTTCAGACATCAAGAATCTATCTACCTCTGCCTTAAAAATGCTTAAAGATCCCATATCTACTGCTTTTCATGAAAAGGAATTCCAAAGATTCACAACCATCTGAGAGAGAGAAAAAAAAATCCTTATCTCTGTCTAAATGGGTAGCCACTTATTTTTAAATTATGACCGCTAGTTCTAGATTCTCCCACAAGAGGAAGCATCCTTTTCACTTCCACCTGGTCGTGTCTCCTCAGGATGTTATATGTTTCAATTAAGTCACCTTTGACTCTTCTAAACTCCAGAGGATACTGACCTAGCCTGTCTCGCCTTTCCTCATTACAAACTATATCTGCAGTTTGGGACATAATCCACAGGGAGTGTCTTGCTGTTGAGCAAGTGTGTTATTAGCCCCTCGTTATCTTTGTAGTCACAAGCAATCACAATCCAGTCTGTTTGGAGTTTATGTGACACCTTTAGGTGTTATATCCTATTGGTCCAACATAGAATTTTAAAATATTTAAACTGCAGTTATTTTGTGCTATTGCAGTCCTCTTTTAAAAAAAAATTCTTAGAACATAGACCTAAAAATACCCTTAATATTTTGAGGTCTGACCTGTAATTGTAATATTTGCTTTGAAGAAATCAGATTTATTTTCATTTCATTGCAAAGGGTGAAAAAAAGAGTTGAATTTTTAGAACAATACATATACTCTTTCCCTTAGCCTCAGTGAATATTATCTTTTCAATCCCAACTGGACTACTTTAAGTTGTGGACAGTATGTCTACAATTACATTTGATTTCCTGGCAATGTGGTTGATTTTTAAGTAGCACAGTCGAGGAAATCAACTTTATTGGACTAGTCCAGTATTTGGGGCTTAAACATTTCCACAAAGTTACTGTGGTCAATATAAACTATGTACCTATTTTAGACATAAATCTGAATGTGTTTAAGAGCCCAGCAATAAATTGAGGGCTTCTTTCTTTGAAGTGGAATATCGTCTCTGATGTTTGTTTCGTTGTTTGGAGAAGTACCTGATTGGGGTCTCTACTCTGGATTTATTTTCCAAAAGGAGCCCCATCCTGATGACACTCACGTTGCTGGCTGTTCAAAGCCTGCAGTTACAAGTAAAGGCTCAGGTATTAAAATGGCCTTCAGCTTTTCAAAAGCAGTTTGGCATTTCTGAGGAAGAGTCACCAGACCCGAAATGTTAACTCTGATTTTTTTCTTCACAGATGCTGCCAAACCTGCTGAGCTTTTCCAGCAACTACTGTTTTTCTTCCTGATTTACAGCGTCCGCAGTTCTTTTGGTTTTTATTTGGCATTTCTCAGTCCATACTAGCATTATTGTTTTCTGCAGTGGGTCCGTCAGTAGTGTGGCCATTGTATTGAGGTGTGGGACAAATGTGTGGTAGAACATGCACATTCCCTGGGACCTCATGAATTTCTGTTTGTTGTGGGAATGTGGAACTGTACTATTGCTTGTACCTTTGCAGTCTAAGGGCAGTGCTCATCCTTGATGGGTTACTAGGGCCCTAACAAACTCACCTTTTCCCATATTGCCACAGACAGGCATCATGGCTTCACCTTTCATCTCAATAGCATCCTTTCTGTCTTGAGAGGACTCCCGGCATTTCCCTGCCTACCATGGGTGCTCAGTTCCCTCCCATTCTCTCCTTTCTATGTAAGCTTTTATAAGTCTCTATACTTATAAAGTATAAATATACTTGCGTCTTAAGTGCTGGTATCAACTGGTCAAAAGCAAGCTGATGAAGCCTTTCACGTTTCAGGTATATCTGGTCAGGCTACTTCCTGGGGGTACAGAAATTTTGACAGTATGTCTCTGATGCTAACTGGTATCTGCTTAAGGTGTTTTTTTTTAGCTGTTTCATAATCAGTGGCACTTTGCCCAGGTGAGAGGGAGTTAATCTTGTGGGCTTTCCCTGAAAGCTTACACTGCATTATTAAGGATCAATGTTGGATTGGCTACTTTAACTGCTGTACCAGCCATTTGAAAGATATAAAGTAAGCTCTACCTCCGATTCCTCAAACTTATAAATTAAATGAGCAAACCAAGTTGCTTCCACCCTCAAGGTCTGAGCCAGTAGTGTCTTCACAGGACACATCTGCACATGCACACAGAAATAAGAGGTGAATCCAAATAGATTAAACTTTTTAAACAAGATATATGGATCAATCTCTGAATTACTTGTGAACAGCAGGTAGTTGAACATTATGGCCATTACAGTGGAGGTTGGTCAGTTGTTTTGATGTTGATTTTTGAGATTTTTGGTCTTGTAAGCTGATTGAAGGCTCTTTGTCCTGAAGTTTTTAAGCACCTTTGCAGGACTAGGAGTGAAAGAATGTTTTTAACCTGCCACATAGGTTTAATTAGCAGATAGAGTTTTGACAGGTGACTTTCACAGCATGCTAGCGCTCAAACACAGGCTGGTGTACATGAGAACATTCAGTCCCACTAGTAGGCTACAGCAGAATTGAAGCTGGGTTTTTAACGCTTGTCCTTGTGCACTCTTCAAAGGGAAAATGCACAATACGTGCCTGCAGTTAGGGACATAATCCATAGGGAGTGGCTTGCCTGTGAGAAGTGGTTGTCAATCCCTTGTGTCTTCGTAGTCACAAGAGATCACAGGCCAGTCTGTTCAAAAGTTTCTTTGACACTTTATGTGTTATAACCCATTGGCCCAACACAGAATTTTCCTGAAGTTGCACCTACAGTTATTTTGTCTCTGTATTGCCTTTTGAAGTCCTCTTTAAAAAAAAACACATTTTGGAATTGGGGCTAACATGTTTGTAGTACTTCAAGGTTCTTACCAATATCATAACAGAGTGTAGGAATTGGTAGAGGAAAGATGAGCAACGTCTTGCATACTTTCTAAGCTACGTGAGTGCACGGCAATATTGCAATACAAAAGGTCCTGCATGGGTGACAAACACGCCATGGCACAAACTACCATCCCTTAAAGATGTGCACATGCATGGCCATCGAGAAATCTTTTGACTGTATGCAAAGTAATGAAACTAAACAATAAAGGCCATTGATGTAAATTTTAATTTATGTGGCTGTAAATTGTTCCACATGCTGGGTTTGTTTTCAATCTGTGGCGCCAAGACTCAGAATCAAGCATCCCCAGATCAGCTGTAGAACAGAGAGGGTGCAGAATAAATCTCCTCCTTCTGCACGTCAAAAAAGTGCCCAATGCCCACACTCAATCTGGTACCCTATATTATGTCAGTATGGTATTGCACGCTGCTCTGGTCTGGTAGGGAAAAGAAGAATACACAAACCTAACTGTTTGTTTAATTCTGTTATGAAATGTTCAAAATGGGCCAAATGGCAATAATAAATGAGTTGGAGAGTGGTTTCAGTAGATAGTGGCTAGTACTATTAAACTAAGTAAGGCTGTGATTTATTGAAATTAGTAGATTCATTAGAAGCTGTAATGGATGGTTATAGTAAAATAACTGTGCTTTGTTTTGAAGACTACCTAGCCATGCAGAAAGTTTGAATAATTGCAGTTAAATAGGTTTAATAATTGCCCAGTAACTTCTGCATTGTCATCCTGCAGTTTCCATGCTTTGCTCACAGAGCTTATAAAACTTGGAAGAAAATGGTTCTGTTTATACCAACATATCAGTTGTCTGTATTTTTAGTAACAAACAATGCATTGAGGTTCTGGGAGTGATTTGCAAAAATCAAAGTTTACTGCCCTGTTTTTCTGTACACTGCTACCAATGGGCTCTGCCAAAAGGACATGTCTTTCATTTTTCCATCTCTTTTGTGAAAGCATAATTTATTGCACATTTTCCAGAGGTATTAGATTTCATTAGTATACTTCCTCTGTCCATTATTAAGTACAAAAATGCCTTGAGGGTAACTTCCCAGCCTGTCATGTCTATTAAATATTGTGCACCCACAAGTGAAAATGGTTGTGCATTACGCGAGCAAACAACAGGTTTGAAATACAAGTGTATAATTACATCATCCTATATTGAATATGATGATACATGGTAGCTTCTCATTTTAATTAAAGAACTCAAATCATGACCTATGTGTGATGACAGCCTAATTATGTGCATCTTGATTCTATAATTTTTTGCAATTAATACTAAATTGTGTGTTTGGGTCATGAATGCACTTTAATAAATAAAAAATGATGCAAATTAATTTTACCGTGTCACTTAAAATATATATTTAGGGGAGCACGGCTGCCTCTATGGGGCGATTTTCCTTTTCAAGTCTCCTGATTCACAGATTGGACAAAAAAAGTAAATTTAATCCTGCTTAAATATTACATTGGTCACATGATGCAAGACACATCTTAGTGGTATTGCAGAACCCTTTATCCAGGAATGCTTTGGAGATCTGATAACATTATGGCAGGACTACAATGCCAGTTTTTTTGGAAAAAAAAACCCTTTTTAAACATTTGCACTCAAAACATTCAGGAAGAATGGCCAGAGCTTACCTCAGCTCCAGTGTTGATTTTTTGAGCATAGTGCTGGTGTGCTTCAGAAGAATACAGGTATTAAAATGTTGCAACATTAAACTGTATATAATCATAACACATTTGAACTTCAGAGCAAAGAATTTCCATTAGTATTGTGTCATCAGTAATAGTGAAGATAAAACCAGACAATGTTTAACATGGGTGAAAACAAATGTGGTAGATATATATTGGGGCTGGGGGAGGATGGAGGGTGGCCACAGGTTGTTGCAAGAGGTTCCTTGCTAATTTCGTTTTGCTCTTCAGCACTTGAGAAGAACGATGACGTGGACTTCTATCTAAAGCTACTGAAACTTCTGGAAGATGAGGAAGGAAACCTGGAGGAAGGTGTTAAAGGTAAACTCACGGCTGACAGCTCACCCTGCAAGCTCCTTAAATTACAAACCGATAAGAAAAACAATGCCATTTAGACATTTTACAGTCAGCTCTTAATAATCATTATGAGGATTTTCTTTCTAAGTTTATGCAGCAACTATTGTGCATTCAGTCCTCATGAGCAACCCAGCGCACTGTGCAATATGTCAGAATGAGATGCAAGTAAGCTGTAACCACAAACACAAACAGGGTGATCTGAACAAAAGCAGCCTCAATTTACATAGCACCCTTTAACACAATCAAATGTACCGAAATGCTTCACAGGTGCATTATGAAACAGAATATGATACAAAATCACAGGAAATATTCAGGCAGATGTCCCAAAAAAAGTTGTTGAATGATGCTCGTTTTAAAGAGTAAAATAGACAGGAATGTCAGAGAGAGGGGTAGAGAGATGTAGAGACCATATTCTAGAGCTTAAGACCCAGGCGGCCGAAGGCATGGCCACTAATTATGGAGGAATTACAACTGGGATGTTAATTGCTGAGTGCAGATATCTTGGTAGATAGCGGGTTTGAAAAGATTTGGAAGTCTGAGGACAAGGAAGAACTTGAAAACAAAAATGAGAATTTTAAAGTCAAGATGTGCTTGACTGGGAGTCTATCTAAGTCAGTGAGTACACAGATGATGACGAAGGAACTTGGTGTGAGTTATGGCAGGGGTTTGGATGATCTTAATGTTACAGAGGAGTGTAAGTGGACAGCAACCAAGAGTGCTTTGAAACGGTCAAATCTCGATGTAGCAAAACTGTAAATCAGGGGATCAGCAGCAGATCAACTGAGAAAAGGACAAAGTTGGGAAATCAGGGGATTGTAATGATGGCACAGCTACATACCGTGAAGCTTAAATTGTGGTCAAATCTGACGAAAAGGTCTACCATCAGCACTCTAACAAAGAGTCTTATAATTCATTTTCAATGGAAGTGTGGAATGAACAGATAGTAACATAGAGCTGAAAACTAACCCTGTACCTTTGGATGAAGTTATGAAATGGATGAGAAACAGGGTGGGGTTTTGGGGAGCAGCAGATGTAAAGTTATGGGAGCGGGAAGAGAAACAATTGCAGATGATATGGAGTGAAATATTTAAAAGAATAACACCATCACAATCACGGAAGAGTTGCGGTCACAGGGAAAACTATTCTGTCCATCATGTCTGCACCAGCTCTCCAAGTGAGCATTTTGACTTAGTGCCAATCTCCTGCATTTTCCCCATACATAAGAACATAATAACCAGGAGCAGGAGTAGGCCATCCGGCCCTTTGAGCCTGCTACACCATTCACTAAGATCATGGCTGATCTTTTCATGGCCTCAGCTCCACTTACCCACCCTCTCACCATAATCCTTAATCCCTTTACTGTTCAAAAAGTTATCTATCTTAGCTTTAAAAACATTCAATGAAGAAGACTCAACTACTTCACTGGGCAGGGAATTCAACAGATTCACAATCCTTCGGATAAAGAAGCTCCTCCTCAATTCAGTCTTAAATATGCTCCCCCTAATTTTGAGGCAATGCACTCTTGTTCTAGTTTCACCCACCGGTGGAAACATCCTCCCTGCTTCTATCTTATCTATTCCCTTCAAAATTTTATATGTTTCTATAAGATCCCCACTCATTCTTCTAAATTCCAATGAATATAATGCCAGTCTATTCAGTCTCTCCTCATAAGCCAACCACCTCAACTCCAGAATTAACCAAATAAATCTCCGTTGCACCCCTTCCAGTGCCAGTACGTCCTTTCTCAAGTAAGGAGACCAAAACAGCATGTAGTACTCCAGGTGTGGCCTCACCAGCACCCTCTACAGCTGCAACACAGCTTCACTGCTCTTAAACTCAATTCCTCTAGCAATGAAGGACAAAATTCTATTTGCCTTCTTAATTACCTGTTGCAGCTGCAAACCAACCTTTTGCGATTCATGCACAAGGACACCCAGGTCCCTCTGCACAGCAGCATGCTGCAATTTTTTGCCATTCAAATAATAGTCCTTTTTACTGTTATTCCTACCAAAATGGATGACTTCACATTTATCAACATTGTACTCCATCTGCCAGACTTTGCCCACTCACTTAAACTAACTATATCCCTCTGCAGACTTCCAGAGTCCTCCGCATACTTCACTCTATCACTCATCTTAGTGTCATCCACATATGTTGACACACTACATGTGGTCCTCAACTCCAAATCATCTATGTAAATTATAAACAATTGCAGTCCCAACACTGATTCCTGAGGCACACCACAGTTCACTGATTATCAACCAGAAAAGCGCTCATTTACCCCGACTCTTTGCTTCCTGTTAGTTAACCAGTCCTCTATCCATGCTAATACATTGCCCATAACACTGTGCACCTTTATCTTATGCAGCAGCCTTTTGTGTGGCGCCTTGTTGAATGCCTTTTGGAAATCTAGATACACCACATCTACTGGGTCCCTGTTGTCCACCATGCTCATAATGTCTTCATAGAATTCCAGTAAATTAATTAAATATGACCTGCCATCATGAATCCATGCTGCGTCTGCCCACCGGGACAATTTCTATTTAGATATCTTGCTTTTTTCTTCCTTGATAATAGATTCAAGCATTTTCCCCATTACAGAAATAACTGGCCAATAATTCCCCATCTTTTGTCTACCTTTTTTAAACAGAGGTGTCACATTTGCTGTTTTCCAAACTGCTGGAACTGCACCCCCACAGTCCAGTGAATTTTGGAAAATTACCATGAGTGCATTTTCTATTTTCCCTGCCATCTCTTTTAGTACCCTGAGATGCCTTCCATCAGGGCCAGGAGACTTGTCTACTTTTAGCTCCATTAGCTTGCCCAACAGTACCTCATTTGTAATAATGATGGTTTCTAGGTCCTCACCTACCTCAGTTGCCTCGTCATCAAATATTGGCATGTTATTCATGTCCTTCATGCTGAAGACCAAAACAAAATACTTGTTTAATGCCTTGGCCATTTTCTCATTTCCCATTATAGGTCTTTCTCCTATAATATGATAGTTGCTTTCTTGTGTGACCTCATGCTATAGAAAATTGCCATAGAAAATCGCATTATAGGTAAATCGCTATAAAAAAAACACCATACTTGTATAACAGAAAGTTCACATTAGCCAAACAGCATCCACAATTTATCAATCACGTTACAGCCAACCCGCGTTAACAAAGCATGCGTCATAGCAGAAATACCTGTTTTAAATCCCCCTTTTCATCCTCTAAAAGATGGATGTTTATCTTAAGAGATAGTAAGAACTGACGATGCTGGAGTCAGAGATAATACAGTGTGGAGCTGGATGAACACAGCAGGCCAGGCAGCATCAGAGGAGCAGGAAAGTTGACGTTTTGGGTGGGGACCCTTCTTCAGAAATGTTTACCTTAACCACTCTTTCATTTTATATATTTGTAGAAACTTTCGCTATCTGTCTTTATATTCTAAGCTAGTTTACTCATAACCTATCTTGTTTTCCTTTGTAGCGTTTCTTGTTGCTTTCTGCTGATCCTTAAAGTTTTCCCAAACTTCTAATTTCCCACTGGTGTTTTCCACTTTGTATGCCTTATCTTTCAACTTGATAGCCTCCTTTATTTCCTTCGATATCCGTGGCTGATTACCCCTTTTTACTACAATCCTTCCTCTTCCTTGGTATATACTTATACTGAGCACTTTGAAAAATTGCTTTGAAAGTCCTCCATTGTTCCTCCGTTGTCCCACCATAGAGTCTTTGCTTCCAGTCGACTTGAGTCAACTCTTCCCTCATTCTATTGTAGTCTCCTTTGTTTAAAGACAGGACCCAGATATTGGATATTTTCTTCTCACTTTCCATCTGTATTCTAAATTCAACCATAACTGTGATTGCTCCTTCCAAGAGGATCCCTAACCATGAAATCATTAATTATTCCTGACTCAATACACAGGACCAGATCTAGGATTGCTTAGTCCCTTGTTGGTCCCATTACATACTGTTCAAGAAAAATTATTGCAGATATATTCAATGAACTCATCCTTAACCAACCTGGTTTGACCAATCAACATGTAGATTAAAATACCCCTGCGATAATTGCTGTACCATTTTTACAGGCATTCGTTATTTCTTTGTTTATTGCCCACCTCAATGTGATGTTATTATCTGGTGGCCTGTAGACTACACTGTATCAGTGACTGCTTCTTCTTCGAATTTCTACTTTCTACCCAAATAGATTCAACCTTATTCTCCATTGAACCTATATTATCTCTCACTACTGTCCTAATGTCATCATTAAATACCAGAGCTACACCACCCCCCTTACCTTCCTGTCTGTTCTTCCGAATAGTCTGATACCCCGGGATGTTTAATTCCCAGTCGTGACCATCCTGCAACCATGTCTCCGTAATGGCTACTAAATCATACTCATTTGCCATGATTTGTGCCGTTAACTCATGTACCTTGTTTTGAATGCTATGAGCGTTCAGGTGAAGTGGGCCTTTATGCTAGTTTTTATACCTACTTTTTGAATTCTAATATCTCCATTAATGACATCTTCTGCGTTTTCCTTCCTTTTAACTTCTTTCATAGTCTTCAATGCAGTTAAACCCTCCTCCAGACACGTTAACCTGCTGCTTTCTTTTCTATTTACCATAATACTTCCTGATGTTTTCCCCTTTTCCTTCCCCCTGCCCCCCAATCCCAGTTCACTAGTTTAAAGTCCTAGTGACCACCTTATTCAGAGATAGTAAGAACTGCTGATGCTGGAGTCAGAGATAACACAGTATGGAGCTGGAGGAACACAGCAGGCCACGCAACATCAGAGGTGCAGGAAAGTTGAAGCTTTAGGACAGGACCCTTCTTCAGAAATCTCCCTCCCACTCCAATATCCTTTCAAGCCGGTCAGAGATGTCCCTCACCCTCATCGGGCATGCAACACACCATGCGGGACTCTTGATCCTGCTTACAAAAGATATATCAATCCCCCTAATTATAAAGTCCC